AATCAAATCCGGTCCGGTTTTGGACCGGTATACAGCCCTAACGCCATTTGTCCCTTTATTTTTGCCCTATTGTCATTTTTTGGGGTCAAACTTTGTAAATATTGACCGTAAATACCATTAAGCTATAGAAGATATATGCGTTCTTAGACACGTTTTTGAGACTATGAAAAGTCAAATGGGAAAAAAATAAAGACAGAGGAAGGTATTATATTAAGGATAACTTTATTTTTTTAGGGAAACTTTAACAAGTCTTACAATAATTTAACGTGAGTCTGCCTTAAATATAAATTTGTGTTTGTATGTTTACAATTATTCCAAAAATGTATAATCGTTGTAAACTTGCAAATAATTAATACTCCCTCGGTCCAAGGATACTTGAGACGTTGCGGTGGACATGTAGGTTAAGAGAAAACTATAAGTAGGTTAATTTAAAACATTTTTTTATTGTGTAAAGGATTCTCTTTTGTATAGAGATGGATGGATCGGGTTTGGGGCGGGTGGAGCATCACTCGCACCACCACCCGCCTCCATCCACCCCACCCGATCCATCCACCACCCGCCAATATATCCACCCGAATCCATCCATCCATCACCCACGGGTGAAACGGATGGATCGGGTGGTAATTAGATATTTAATAAAATTAAAAAAAAATTAAATTACTCTTAGTTCTTCCCAAGAAAATTCACATATATATGAACCCTAAAAACCATAAATTAACAAAAAAAATTGTGGCAAATTCGTGAAAAAGGACAGAAATCAAGAAAATATATGATTCATGTATATAAACCATAAAAACAAGCAGCAAATTCATGAAATTAAACCTAAGAACAAGCAAAAAATTCGAATTAAATTCGAATGAACAAGGCAAAAATAGCAACAAAAAGTCAAGAATATATCTTAAGAATGGAGGCCATCGTAGTTTGCCTTGCTTAGGAATTACAATATTGAAATATTCTTTAATTTTGCATTCTCAATAAACCCAGAAAATTAAGATATAGATATATAAATGGAGTTTTGGGAATTCTGGGTGTATTTGAGGGTTCGAGAGTAAATTGTGAAGAAGACCCTCCGCGACTTTGATAGATGCGAAATCTGTGAAACCGCTTCAATGGAAAACTCATAGTATGCTATAATGGAGGAGAGAGAGGGGAGGAGGAGAGAGAAAAAGAGGGGAGGAGGCGTGTCTACTGAGTACTGAATACATTTTTTTTTTCAATTTAATAGTCAGTATTCTTTTCTTTCTTTCTTTCTTTCTTTTATTTTTTTTAATATTCGGGTGATGGATGGATTAACGGGTCGGGTGATGGGTGAAATTTGTCCACCCGAATCCGATCCGTCACCCGCATCCGTTAATCCTTCATCCGCCTATCATTCCTTTAAATCGGGTTTTTCACCCATCCAATAAGATGGGTGGACTGGGTAAGTGGGTAACCCACTGGATATTTCCATCTCTACTTTTGCATTTTTATGTAGTAAGAAACATAAGCGGGAATGTGAGATTTAATTAGGATTTGGAGTTTGCGGTCTCAAATTGGAAAATATTTTTTTATTAACGGTCTCATTTCATATTTAGTAACGTGTCAATTGGGACTAGACTTGGCAACCGGGTCATTCGGGTCGGGTATGGGTCGGGTCATTCCGGGTCAGGTCAAATTCGAGTTAGCAAATGTTCGGGTCGGGTTTGGGTCGGGCCGGGTCATTTCGGGTTTCGGGTCAAGTTCGGGTCAATAAATTATCGGGTCGGGTCAGGTATCGGGTCAACTTTGGGTCGGGTCGGGTCATTTCGAGTCGGGTCAGTTTTTGAGTCCATGTATCGGGTCAAGTTCGAGTTGGGACAAGTTCGGGTCGGGTCGACTTTAGGTCAGGTCATTTCGGGTTGATATTTTGAGTCAAGCAATTAAGCTTAAAATAGTATATTTGTAATTTTTATACGGATTAATTATTATTATTTTTTTTACTAAAAATATAGTTGTTTGTGTTAATATCATCATCATCATCATCATCATCATTATTATTATTATATATCAAAAATAGAAAAAGTCATACAACTTACAAACAATTACTGGGAAGCCAAGATACAATATGAGCCCCTACTCCTCTAGCTACATCAAAATCAATCCTAATGAAGATGTGAGCAACAACACGTTTCCCAATGTGTTGAGTTTTTGAGAACTTATGTACCCGCTTTGGCAACACAACAAGAGAAAGAGAAAGAGAAAGGAAGGAGACCATACCCAACCACCTAAGAACTAGTTTCATACCTAACCTGCTAACAATTATTATTATTATTTATAATACTCCCTTTGTTTTTATTTACGTACTCCATTTTCATTGGATATTTATGCAATAATGCAGATGCGTGCAAAACTTTGACATATATTTTGTAATTATCAATGAGTATACAAATAAAATAGTTGAATCTTAACAGACTATTCAACGTGACTAGCTCATTTTGCGTATAAGGTAGTTTTAGTTTGGGTCACACATGTAGTACAGGCTTAAATAGATTTAGGTCATTTTGCATATAAGGTAGTTTTAGTTCGGGTTAGTTTAGGTTTTGGGTATGTTCGAGTCAATTAATTCGGGTTGAATTCAGGCGAGGTCGATTCGGTTATCAGGTCAATTAGGGTTGGGTCATTTCGGGTATCAGGTTAATTTCGGGTCGGGTCACTTCGGGTCGAGTTATTTCGGGTATCGGGTCAAATTTGGGTCAAGCCATTTTGGGTCGGGTCAATTTCGGGTCGAGTCAATTTGGGTATCGGGTCAACTTTGGGTCAGGTATAATCGGTTCGGGTCAACTTCGGGTTTCGGGTCAAGGTCGGGTCAACTCTACATCGGGTCGGGTCAATTTCGGGTTTCGGATCAATGTTTTCGGGTTAATTTCGGGTCATGGGTCGGGTTATTCGGGTCGGATCATCGGGTTCGGGTCAGGATTGCCAGGTCTAATTGGGACAGACGAAATGGGAAATGCATCAGGTATTGTAAATTAGAGTGAGAAATTGAAAAAAATTTACTCCCTCCATTTCATTTTGTTATTTAGATTTAGAATCTCTTTTAACTATTAAAATTTAATGGAAATTTTCTAAATTTCTCTATATATATATAAGAACAAATATAGTCATATGAGATCTAATTTTAGTTGTCTCAATAAATACTTTATTAATATCTAATTTTTACTCCCTGAGTCCCTAAATGATAGTCCCTTATGGTCTATTTTTAGTCCCAAATTGATAGTCCCATTTGTTTTTTTCAAGTATCATTAATATCAATTTTTTTTATCAAATTCCCTCCAATTGCAACAATATTTTTGCAAATTTAACTTTTCCATGTAAATTTTGTTTTTCAATGTACTTTTATTACTTTATCTCTCTACTATTTTACATACCCAATTAGGGATGGCAATGGATCTGGACCCGACCAGGATCCGTGGATCCAAATCCGTTTGGGTCTTAAAATTTTGGACCCGACGGATCCGGGTCTTGCTGACAAAAACGAATTTGGATCTGGGTCTGGACCCTAGACCCGGATCCAGATCCGTGGACCCGTTTTTTTTATTTTTCCTATTTAAAAAAAACTAAAATTATTTTTTCTTTATTAAAAATGTTGATAATGTTAGTAATGATAAAGATTAACCCTTTCAAGAGATGAATTTTGGATGCTCATATTATATACATTATCGTTGTTTTTTCACTAGTTCATATGTAACATCGTATTTTTTTGTTGTTTATAATTTTAATTCAAAATATGAGTCTATAAGTTGGTTAATTTGGGGTTGAACTTAATAACCAACAACGTAAGTTTGAAATAAATTTTTTGACCCGAACATTACATTTATTGCAAAAAAATTAGGCAAAATATATTGGACCCGTTTTGGACCCGGATCCGTTGGACCCGATGGATCCGGATCCGGGTCTTCATTTTCTGGACCCGACGGATCCGGGTCGGATCTGGATCCTATATACGAAAACGGATCTGGATCCGGGTCCATCCGGACCCTGTCCAGATCCAACCTGTTGCCATCCCTATACCCAATGTAAATTTATCTTTTCAATCTAATTTTACTACTTTTATTTAAGGGTTCGTTTGACATTGCTGTGGTTTTCTGTTTTTTGGTTCTTTGTTGTATAAAAGTATATGATATATATCACATAATGAATCAAAAATTATTTAAACTTATTAAAATCATAATAATTTTGAAAACTGACAATAAAAAAGTGGAAACACCTTTTTCTTGTTTCCTGTTTTTGGTTTTTAGTTTTAAAAAAAACAGGAAACTAAAAACAAAAAATGATGCCAAAAAGGCCTAAGTTTCTTAATTCCCGTAATTTTTGCCCATAAGGGACTATCATTTTGGGACGGAGGGAGTATAATTTTTGCTAGTGTGTGATTAAATAGCTTTATAATTAAAAGATTTACATCGATAGAAGCGATGAGCTCATTACACAAAAAAAAAAAAAAAAAAAAAACCTAGCCTCCTTTTCTCCCTTTTCTCTCCTAAACCTAGTCTCCATTGTCAATTTTAAAGGGGCTTCCATCGGATTTCACCGGTGGAAAGCCCCAATCTTTATTTACTTTTAAGCCTTTTGTTTTAGATTACAATATCGTCTCTCTCGAAAGAAAGAGTTTATCTCCTTTGAAAGACAAGATTTTTTCGATATTTTTCGAAAGACAAGGTTTTATTTGTGCTTAAGTTGGTCTCCGGTTCGAAAGAAAGGGGCTACTATTGATTGTGGCTCGGATTCGGGTAACGGAATCAGCATAAGAATTTACTTTCTCGCAAAAATGCGAAGCAACGACGAATCCATTCAAAAAGTTGTATGAGACAACGAATCGAGAATATGCCGAATTGTTATATTTATGTATTTGGATTCTTAGCTCTTCCCCGATTAATTCTTGTTTGAATTGTTACATCGATATATGTAAATGAATAAATAACACTAATTAACGGCGGGAGTATTGATAATGACGTGGTAGTGCCGTTGATATGACACATATGAACGGTATAGAACCTCCTAATCTACTGAAAACAAACAAGAATATCCTGATTCTGGCGCTTTCTCAACAATTCAATACCATTCACTCTTTCTCTGTAACTCCTCCATCATTCATCAATGGCGGAACCTCATCAATCCACCACCATTCGCTTCGGCATCCTAGGCTGCGCAGACATAGCCCGCAAAGTATCTCGTGCCATCCTCCACTCCCCAAACTCCACCCTCTACGCCATTGGCAGCCGCTCAATCGAGAAAGCTCGAACTTACGCGGCCGCCAATGGCTTCCCTTCTTCCACCAAGATTTACGGAAGCTACGATGAAGTTCTCGATGACCCAGAAGTGGATGCCCTTTATGTACCCTTGCCCACTAGCCTCCATCTTTATTGGGTGGTTCGTGCTGCGGAGAAGAAGAAGCATATTCTTGTTGAGAAACCTCCTGCTTTGAATGTTAAGGAATTGGATGTGATTTTGAAGGCTTGTCAGTCAAATGGGGTTCAATTTATGGATGGGACTATGTGGATGCATCATCCTAGGACTAAGATTATGGGGGAATTTTTGAGGGATTCTCAACGTTTTGGTCAACTTAAGGCGGTAAGTTTTTTGTGATTGATAGTTTCTTTGTTGTTGTAGTAGTTTTCGTTAAACAATAGGCCATATTTCTATTTTGTAATTGTCCTGTTTAATCCATGTTATTGAATAGATAGGCTAAAAGGGTATATTTAGATTAATCAATCATAACTTGAGATTACTTTAAGAAAATGGGTGAAAATTGGATTGTTTAATATCAAATTATACTTTGTGATATTGGTTTTATTACTTGATTTGGTTGTAAGAATATTATAGTGAAGTTTGGGGTTATTTTAAGCATGTTAAATGAAATAGTAAGTTTGGTTGAAAACTTAGAATTAGTAATATTGTGGAAGAAGGGTTTTAATGTTTGAAGATATATAAAAATCTTGTGTGGAATGAAGAGTTTGTGTTCTGTAGGTAGGTTAGTTGGCTACTGATGTTACATTATTCAAATTTGTGTTTGTTGTGGATCGAATGAGGACAATTTGTTTGTTTGAGGACAACTGACCAATTGACATCCTTCTCATTCACTTTGTCAGCAGTTCAAAATTTTAGATTTTAAGATGTTGGTCATGCAATGGTATCCAATTCCCCAAGGTTTGAAGTTTGAATACATCTAGAGAATTAGATTGGTTAGGCTTTGGTTGCTAATGAGGAATGATTTGTTTGCGGATTTGTTCGAATGGTTAATGCTGTTGTGGTGACTATGTTCTCAATTTTGCATTAGCAAAAGTCTAGTATACTATTCTTCGAAAAGGGTAAGACAAGGAACACTAAAGAAGGCTTACTTAAGTTGCATCTGAAGTATCCCTTCTTTCATTAAAGGCATGCCATTTTATTGTATTGTTGCTCCTCCGTCCCAACTCCAAGTATTCATTAAGAAATTACATGCCTTTTCTTTACCTTTCTTCCATTGGCCTCCACATCGCCCGTTCAAAACAGAGGTTATTTTGCTGGATGTACTATGAAGGCATGCTATTTTTTGTTGAAAGACTTGAAACTCATTTACAAGTTGCCACTTACCAGCAATGTAATGTACGTCATATACAAGAATCTTCTTAACGGTGTTTTTCATAAAAAGTCAGAGAACCTTGCTCATCAGACTTGTAATTTGATTATATTGCTGTTTTTTAGTATCCCAGGGCCCATTCCTCTAAAAACTAGGACAAAAGGTTAATCTTCAAAGCTTACTACCTGTCAAGCTTAGGCTTACTTTAATAAACCTTGTGAGGATTTTTGCTGAAAGCTTGGAGGTGAATCATCGTATGTTGGTTGATTGCTAGATGTTTAGATAGTGTACAATATTGGAGCTTGTCTGTTGCATGTACGGGAAAGGATGATAATTGCAAATTTCATTATAAGGTAGTGATTTAGAAGAAGTGCATCCTAGCATAGGTGCCAATGAGATTGATTCTAACTCTAATTCCCTTCTATACTTGGGGGACTTTCTATCTTGGCTGTTTGGGATGGATGTATGTAAATTATTTCTTGTTTCTATCTTAGTGTGTGTTCTTCCTAACTTCTGTTAATAGTGTATCTTCTTCTGGGCCTCTTGGTTGTTTGTTTCTAGACTGTCTACCAAAATAACTTTGTTGTGGCTTAATGCTGTATGGAATTAAGTCTTTGATTGATTGATTGTGTCTTAATGCTGTGGTGAATTTGTATTTAAAATCGAATGTTATGTCTAGCCTTTTTGCTAGAATTCTAAAATTGAAATGTTGATCATACTGTGTTAGGCATTTACGCTTACCTGGGCTGAGAATTGAATTAATTCTCAGCCCAGGGGAAGTGATGAAAGATTTATTACAACAAAAAATACCCTAAAAGTAGATTAAGATTGTAGCATCGGAGGAAAAATAAGAGTTACCTGCACAATTTGTTATACCAATGCTTCAGCTTATACCAATATTCATTTATTAATTCATCATCAGATCAATTAATGGTTCTAATTAAAAGACCAGGAAAAAGAGTCATGGAAAAAAAGTTAGGAAAAAAATAATTACAGAAAATGCATTTAGATAAAATGAGGTGGCATGTGTCCCCAAAAATACTAGGTCTAGCTGATGGCAAAATGTTTTTTGAGGCTTGTTGAGCATGTATTAGCTGCGGATTCATTCTTTCATCTAACTTAGGGTCTGTTTGTTTTATTTTCTTTTAACTTATTTTATCTTATCCAAAAAATTAATGAAGAGATTATAATAATCACTAAATGTAATTTATACTTCTCCTTGATTTGCATAAGCATTGAAAAGTTAAAAGATAGGTGCTGAATTGATTCATCAAAACTCCACCGTGTCAATGAGCTCTTTACATAAGATACGTGAAATTGTGAAGTATTGGCCCTGTTTTAAAAAAAGGTGAGCATCCAACTAAGGCTGGGATTACATCTTTTGTTTGAGACTTCCTACTATTTGTTGAAACTGGTATCTCATGTGTTGTATCTCATAGCTGGTGAGTGTGACTATGAGAGCTCATAGGTCAGAGCCTGAATATACTACGTGAAGTCTAGGATTAGATGCCATGATTGAACTTCATTCAACTATTGTTTAGTAAAAGTGTAGGATGTTATAGTATGTTAAAAAAGGATGCAAACAAAAGGATAAGGGAAATTAGCCGTAAAAGCCCCTGTGATGAACAATGATGGGATGACTAAAAGAGAGCCAGGAAAGATTCCCTTGTCTTTTTTGTGAAATTAGACAACATCAATAGATGTTTCTCAACTCTTTTCAGTTCCAGGGGATCCTTCTCATGATCTCTTTCTATTATGATAGATCAGAAAACACTTTCCATTTACGTATGTGAATTACAGGAGGTAATTGGGTTAATCTTGTTACAAAGATAGTCTTTTGGGACTAGCTGAGGTACTGAAAATTTACTTGTATTACTGTTAATTCAGATTCTACTGAAGGTTGGGTGAATTTGATTGAAGATAATATTGAGTGAATCCTAGTTGTGGGACCAGTGACAATAATTTAGGCTCTCCTGAGTGCCAAAAAGAACTGAGGAAACCTTTTAGCATTCTATACTCTGGAAGACTATATGGTCTAAAGTATGGATATCATAAGAAAATTTATACATTCACCATAAATTTTTGGTTCAATTGGCTGGCGTCCTAATTTTTGTTTTGAGTGCTTTGTCAATACATTGTTGTGATCTTTCAGAAGCTCTATTCTCATTATCGGCCCACATTTTACAGGTGCAATCATCCTTCACCTTTTCTGCTGATGAGGACTTCCTTGAAAATGACATCCGGGTAAAGCCCGATCTCGATGCTCTTGGTGCCCTAGGTGATGCTGGCTGGTACTGCATCAGGGCAAGTCTGTGGGCTGCAAATTACGAACTTCCTAAATATGTGACTGCTTTAAGGTTTCCTATTAAAAACTCTGCTGGGGTGTTGTTATCCTGCGATGCTTCCTTGCACTGGGAAGATGGCAAAGTAGCCACCTTCCACTGCTCTTTTCTCTCCAACTTAACCATGGATATAACCGCTATTGGCACCAAAGGCACCTTGCAAGTGAATGATTTCATTATTCCATATAAAGAAGTGGATGCCTCTTTCTCAACAGTCTCTGAAGCTTGGTTCACTGACAAAGATTTGGAATGGAATCAAAAACCGAGTGAGCACATTGTTACTACGGATCTTACCCAGGAAGCTCTTATGGTTAAAGAGTTTTCAGCTTTGGTTTATGGCATAAAACACCATGGTCTAGCTCCAGAGAAGAAATGGCCTACTATTAGTCGGAAAACTCAACTTGTAATTGATGCTGTGGTTGCTTCCATTGACAAAGGCTTTGAGCCAGTCGAAGTAAACTATTGATTTCAGTAATCGCCCTTGTAATGTAACTGCAATGCTTGTTTTCCTTTTGTTACCCATTTCTGGCAATAATAAAGAGTAATTCATTCTGTATTATGGAACTGCTTAAGCATTCATGTTTGTTTTTGTCGATATGCTTCGCATTCAACTGTCTTATTTTGGTAGGACAATTCAGCATTCGAAAGTCTGAGCCTCGGTGATGACTTCCCGTCTTAAAACAATAAGCACAATGAACTGTCAATTATACTTTCAGTTGTGTGTTGCAAGGATAGTGTTCATTAATTAGGTTTCTGTTGGAGATTAAGCTTGTAATCCTTGTATTATCTTGGTTTATTCCTAGTTTGTTCCTACATTGAGTGTCATATAGAGATTGAATAGAAGCAGTAGAATACTAAATAAGTCCGTAAAAGTTACGGGGTATACGCATGCATTATTTGCATTAACACGAATTATCTGGTGTATGTGAAAGGGGAGTGACTAGTTGAATTTTCAAATCTACTACTTGTCCCGGATGTAACCCGTCAACTTGTATTCAAGATCCGTGAAGACCTTATCGTCCTGCTATGCACGTACAAAGTCAATGCAGATTAGCTAACCCCGGGGTGAGTTCGGGGATAACCACTCTGATAATAAAGTTAGCGATGAATTAAAAAGAAGAAGAGATAGAATTATTACAATTACCTTCAAATGAAGAATTAAAAGGGCTATTTATAGGAATTCCAACTGCCAAGTGACTGCATGTCTGCATGTCATGCAAATAACACAACACCAGGTGTTGGTAGTCACCCGCTACTTGGGGGGGGGGGGGGTTGAAGAGTGATCATATCCTATGCCATTATGGAGTTCTGGCCGGTATGCATATTTGGTATTCTGGTAGCAATCCGGCCTGTATTTGAGTAATATGATATCGACACGGATATCTTCCCATACACTACTTATTATTCATAACAAATTGACATGTATGACTTTTACTCCCTATACAACTTTACTTTACCCAAAATTTGCACAAAGTATTAAGTGAATCCATTAAATTGTAAGTCCACCCACCCAAAAACTAACACATATGTCTAATAACTTGTATGCAAATTTCACAAACATATATAAAATGCCTAGAAACTTATAGGAAATTTCTAATGTCAAGATGTTCAAAAGTTTATTATAACTTATAGGAAATTTTGACAATTACCACCTTCTGTTATGTCCATTTTAGTAATTACCACCTTTTATTTTATTTTATTTTTGAAAATTACCACATTCTATTTTCAAAAACATCAAAAGTTACACCTTCTTGCCCCCCAACTAGCACGTGACGTCATTTTGGGCCAATTCTTTCCCTTCCCTCCCTATTTCCCTCACATTTCTCATTCCTATTTGGATTCTCATCTCCCCTTTCACTTTTTTTCCCCCAAACCACCAATAATTTTCCGTCAATTTTGATTTGGAGGAGTGAATTGAAGAGTTTCTGAATTTTTGGGGGAAAATAAGTGAATGAGAAGGTAAGAATCGGGTTATGGAAGAGAAATGGGAAAGAAATAGGGAGGAAAGGGAAAGAATGAGCCCAAAATGATGTCACGTGGTAGTTGAGAGGCAAGAAGGTGGTAACTTTTGATGTTTTTGAAAATAAAAGGTGGTAATTTTCAAAGAAAAATAGAAGGTAGTAATTGCTAAAACGGACATAACAGAAGGTGGTAATTGTCAAAATTTCCTAACTTATATTCGTCTCACCATTAGTCTGAACTTACATAATGCCTTCTCAATCTTCTTGTAAAATGACATATTGAGTAGAATGTGAGATGGTGTAATTTTAAGCTTGATCACGTAATAACATAGTCTAAAAACACAAATCCATACCTTAGCTTCCTCGTCTCCAACTAGGGCGGGTGTGGTGCGGTGTCCATTTTACCATCCCTATTATGTTATGATCAACCAACCAAATCCATGAAAAAAAAAAATTAAACAAAACTGACAAGCAAGTGCTCAAGTGACTAAAAAAACGTGTCAACTAAAAAGAAACGAGGAAATAACATATTACTCTATCCGTCCCTAAATTATATTTCTACTAATTTTCTCTATTATGTGAGGAATAAATGCTAGACCTAGAAATGTAATTTAGGGACGGAGGGAGTAACATACCAACACGTATGACTTCTAATCTTTACCCTTCACTTTACCTTACATTCTTCTACCCAAAATTTTCACAAATCCAATTATCAAGTGAGTCCACTTTACAAGAGCCCACCCACTCAAAAACTAATACATAGTACGGAGTATTTTGTACTAGCTCAAAAAGACAAAAATAAATAAATAAATAAATAAAAGAACGTAATATATACTCCCTCCGTTTTTAAATACTTATTTCATTTCTCTATGCACGGATTTGTAGGAGAAATTGAAGAAAGTAATAAAATATGGAGGTAGTGGGTAGTTGAGAAAATAAAAAATTGTAAAAAGCAAAAGTAGTGGAAGAATAGGAGGAGAAAGAGTATTATGTTGGGTCCACTAAGTGTGAGAAATGAATTAAATATTGTAATAGCTTTCCATAAAAGGAAATGGAGCAAGTATTAAAAAACGGCCGGAAAAGAAAAGTGGAACAAATATTTAAAAACGGAGGGAGTATGTCTAATAACTTATGCAGATTTCAAAAACGTATAGAAAATGTCTAAAAACTTTTTAGTAAATTTCTTACTACCTATGTAGAAATATTCAATAACTTATATGAAATTATCTAACTACTTAGGGTAAGTTTATCCTCATATCCAAACTCATAATACAGACTCTACCACATTAGCTTTCCACTAAGGTTAAATTATATTTTTAATTATAATAAGACTCATACAAGATTTTTTTCCACTTTCAACCCATTAAATTATACCAAGACTCACCCTAGATTTAATATTTACATATCCATTTCTTTTATAAAAATCAATAACTTTGTTTTAGCCGATGAGTTTCATTGACCATAAAAAAAATCAGATTGTTTACAAAATTTGTAGAGTCTTAAAGACTCCCTATAGTCTTGCACTAATTTATAGCAAAAAAAACATATAGTCTAGTATGTGAGTGAGTCTTGAATCAAGACTCCACTCAAGACTCACCAACAAACTTACACAAAACATAATATCTTCTAAATTTTCAATTAAAATGACATATTTAATAGAATGTGAGATGGTGTAATTTTATAGTTGGTCATTATTGGTGGACCAACTTAACTAAAAGCTTAAGCTGGCAAAACATTAAACTTACACAAAACATAATATCTTCTCAATTTTCTTGTAAAATGACATATTTAATAGAATGTGAGATGGTGTGATTTTATTGTTGGTCATTGTTGGTGGACCAACTCAACTAAAAGCTTAAGCTGATAGTTGAGGCCTAGAAATATGTTTTATACTCTATTAGTCATGTTACACAGTCTAGAAACCCAAATCCATACCCTCATCTCCAACTAGGGCGGGTGTGGTGCGGTGTCCATTTTACTATCCCTACTATGCTATTATCAACCAACCAAATCCATGAAAAAATAACAAAATTAACAAGCAAGAGCTCACGTGTGAGTGTCCTAGATAATTGTTTCATAAAACAACTTTCAAGAAAATAACAAGTTACTAAATCAAACAAAGAGCAAAAAAAATTAACAAGAAGAAATTAGAAGCAATAAGTAAGGTTCAATATATATTCTAGGAAGTATAAATTCACAAATTCCATGTACAATTAGAGAAACGAGCAAGTAAGGTACACCAAAATAAAATTGATCTAATCTTGGGATTTTTTTAAAATCGTTGGAAACACACAAACATGTTGCCTTATAATGTTGGGATTAGTGAAGCAATCGTGGCACAAGCAATGGAGTACATTTGTAAGTTTCATGGACAATTAACTTTGTTCTTTCCAAGGTTGCTACTTGCTACATTACCGCCGTCTTTCTTATTGTTTTCTTAGATGTTAATCAATCAAACAATCTTAGGTAATGACTAATTACCATTATTATACGTATTGTAAGGACCAATTTGTTGAGACATGTGGATGCCAAGTGATGTAGTGTGATCACTTCCATTTATTTCGGTTATTCATCTTGGGATGGTGGTTGTTTTGAGATGGTCGATTCGATTTGTTTCGTGATGTGTAGGTATAAGGTATTCATAAAGGACAGTATTATGGGAGGGATTTGATCTTGAATCTTGGATGTAATTCGCGTTGTTTCTTGATCAATAAGATAGTCATAAATAAAAGAAAGTAGCATGGATGGAATTTGCATAATGATTGTGAATATTGAACATTATCGTACAAATCTTAACCAACTATCTAGTTGGCATCCACTAACCCGTGTTTTATTTGGTGTCAATTGCTAGCTCAATGCTTAGAGCTAATTTGCAGCCATTTTTTAGTCACAAAAGTTCAAAATTAATCTTAAGAGGATAAGTTTATAGGTGACTTTTAATTGTCGTAATTTTAAATTTATTGGACGCCTTAATTGGTTGGAAAAAAAGAAAAATGTTGGCTTGAAGTTTAGCAATTGAGGGGCTATACCCAATTGTCCATTTAAAAGCAATGCATTTTGCAAATGATTTTCTATGAAGCAAGTTTTATTCATCTAATTTTTATCAGACAACTAAAAGGATCCCAAAAAAAAGGTCTAAATTATGTTATATTATTTTTACTATATATGTACAATATATAAGGGGAACCACTAGATCATATATATGTTAAATTTAGTGTTGTCAAATTTCAAACCGAAACCGTTTAACTACCCGAAACCGACCGACCAAAATGAGAACCGAACCGATTAAAAACCGATTTTTTTGAAACCGAAAACCGACCCGAACCGTATTTTAGTAAACCCGAAATCGAATCGACCCGAATAATGTTAAATCGTATAAGAACCGAACCCGTTAACAAACCGAACCGAATATAAACCGAACTGAAAGAAAACCGAACCGAAAAAGAACTGAACCGTATCTAACCCGAAACCGGTTCCAATCTGAAACCGTTTAAACTGGCAAAAAAACCGCTTACACCGAACCGTTAGCAAACTGCTACCCGTTTGCACCGAACCATTTAAAAACCGAACTGATTGTAAACCGAACTGGTTATAAACCGAACCGTTTATGAACCAAACCGCTTCTAAATCGAAC